TTAACAACTTTAACTATTATTTTGTTAAGTAACCAAATTTAATTTATTAACTCCTAATTAAGTAAGAAGATAATTAAATAGAATCGGTGTTCTCTTATCAAATCTCCTCCCCAAATCTCTCCTCTTCCCCCAATTTCAGCAGGTCCATCGGGATTTTTTTACAGCCAATCTTTCTCCTTTAAAATCCTCAGCCAGCCCTAAGATCTCCCTCCGTATCTCACTCCCTCAATTTCACTCGCGAAAATCCTCGATTTTTTCTGCAACTTTTTCCTTCGGCGAGACAAACATGGCAAACGTGTCGTCCGGCCACAAGCAGCGAGCCTCGAATTCCGACGGCCGGAGCAACCCAAGGTTGCGACCCCCAATCCTCTCTCCGTTCCAGCGCCGCGTCCATTTCGAGACATCCCGGCGAGTTCGAGTCACATCTGACTTCTGGTGACCCTCCTCTGCATCCGACCTCGAGCCGCGACCTGTGACCTTCACAGCACCACAGAGTCGGACCTCGAAATGCGTTCGACTTCGTACATAGAAGAGAGCCTTTAATTTCCGGGTTGAGTTTGACTTTGCTATCGTGAATGAAAAGCTCTTTTCTTAGTCTTTTAGCTTTTCTGTTTTGCTGTTGGTGGGTCTGTACAGGTTTATGTGGGATAGATTTAGGTGTGTTTTGGGCTTTTTGTGTTGCTGTGTGTAAAGCGGTTGTGGTTGCTGTGTTTATGTGTGGCAAAAAGACTTAATGATGGGATAAATAATACATATTTCCATTAGGACGATTGAAACCTTTTAATCCCAGACTTTATAAACACAAAACAAATAACCCAAAAAAATGAAAACTGCATAAAAATGGAAGTCAAATCTCTGAAATAATAGGTCTTCCATTCATTCAGTGATTGACGCCAAAATTGAACGTAATCAAGGTATGATGCCGAAAATGAAACGGACGGAAGGAGATACCAAAGAGAGGAAAAGAGAAAGTGAAATATCCGTTTCGAAAAATTGCGAGGCAATCAATGATCCCAAAGTGCTCGCGAACAACATCGATCAACTAAAGTTTTCAATTCACCGTCGAAGCTGATAAACTATTCTTTTGCAAGTTTCAAGGTTTGCATCATAGTTACCGTCAAAACAACCTCTGCCAGAACTTTCACATCCATGCTTTTTTTATTTTGTTGGATTGGATCAAGGTTTGAAACTAAATTTATTGTTTGCTGGGTATGGATATTTATAAGTATATTTGATGTTATGTAATGGTACTTCATGATTTTTCGATATGTTTCATTTTTCTTAGGTAAAAATAAAAACAGTTAAAAAAATATTGAAATTCCATACAATTGATAAACACAATAGACATTAAGTTTCAATGTTTATTATGATTACATCGTTTTTAATTTTTCGAATTAAGTTGGTTGGATAGGTTGTTATTAGTTTATAATTTTTTTCATGTTCCTGGTTCAATGGAAGAAAGTAATCCTAAACTAAACCTTCTAACAACCGTCTAAATAATAAATATGTTGCTTTATTATTGAAGAATTGAGGTATTTTTAATTTTTACATTTTCCATAAAAAAAAGTATAGTGAATACAAAATATTTGAAAGATAAACAAACCAAATATCCAAACTGGAAAGATAAACTTGAAAATAAAAAATAAAAAATAAAAAAAA